AGCCTGGCGTGCTTTTACACGCTACAGCCGCTGTTTGAATGATTGGATTACTCTGAATCCGTGGAAACAGTAAATTATGAATTTATATGTGTGTTTAAAACTCAGTAAATTTAAAAATAAGTTATTCCAATATTGACTTGAAGATGAAACGGAACTAATGCTTTTAATTTAATTATATAAGTTTTAGCTTCCATTTTTGAAACATGGTTATTACTGTGTAGCGAAAAACCCATATTTTCAATCAGTTAATATATATATATATATATATATATATATATATATATATATATATATATATATATAATAACATAATAATAATATGAATAATATTAATGTCACCTATTTATATATGCAAAAACACACAAAAATAAATAAAGGCATTTAACTATTCAAATAACAGTTACAAAGATGGAAGTATGATAAAAACGAGGTAGCGAACAAGAAGTTAAACAAATGGAACTTCACCTGGATTTTTTTTCTCGGTGTATAGAGAAACTTATCGTCTGGTACAAGGCTACAATCGGGGAAGTCCTGGTGAAAATCGACCTCAATTCTCGTATCCAAGAACTTAATTTCTTCTTTTCTGATCGCTTCCTTTACGATGATGGCGTTGAAGCCTAGGTAGACCAATTCTTGCATGGAAGATTCGATGTCATTGACTGCATAATAATGTTGATGGAGGACGAAGTTGATTTTGTCGAGCCTTTTTCTCTTGTCGTTTGGATTCTTCCTCTTCTCTTCTGTTGGCTTCGAAGTTTTTGGTTCCAATGCTGATGGAAAAACCGCCATACAGTCTTCTGCTTCTGTTTAAATGATTGAGGCTCAACTCCAGTGGCTTTCAGTGTCGTTTTGATTTGGTCCCGGCATCTTCGAAGAGAGCAATCCCGTAGTCTTTCCTTCGAAAGTGAGTTCGTTGAATAAGTATTAATGTGGAAACCTTGGCACTTCTATTCTTGCTACGTATCCTGACCACCGAAGACGATTGTTTCAACGATTCGATGCCTTGACTGTTGACCTCTCCAGGAACTTGTTATTGGTCACATAGCATTCCTGTTTGATATTTGAAACACACACACACGCAAACAGACACACAAACACACATATATATATATATATGTATATAATAACATAATAATAATATTAATAATAGTAATCTCACCTATTTATGTATGTAAAATTATATAATTCAACATATATCAAGACGAACAGAATTTCTGCCAATAAAGTACTTGATAGAAATCGAGAATAATAATTATTGACTCAGAAGTGGCATAATTTCAAAATATTAATTGGTGGCCGACTCGGGATTTTGTGATTTCTCAATCGTCAGAACTCAAATAAGAACGATTATAGGGAGGGTGTCCCCACAAAAAATTTGTAGGCCAATAATTTTGGCAATTCTTGTTTGAAATAGCCTCAAATTTTCTCAGAATCAAGTTTTTGTATTTAATGTTTTATTTTTGTTATCTCATTGAGAATCTGCCAGAGATCGGACGTGGTGGAGATGGAGACAGTTTTCTGTTTAAATGGCCGCCGCGGTCACCGGACTTGTTCCTATGTGATTTCATTTCATGGGTATATTTGAAGGCATTGGTCTATGCCCCCCTCTTCCTGATAGCATTGATGAACTGAAGCAGAGAATCACTTCTGCATTAGATAATGTTACCGCAGACATACTACAGCGTGTTTGGCAAGAGCTTAACTACCGACTTGACGTGTGCCATATCACAGGCGATGCCTCTATTGAACACTTATGAAATCAGTCCCATAATAAACTTATGATGTTCAACACGTAAACTGTTCAATTTCATTGAGCTGGACTTAGGAGTTTTCTAGATAATTGCTTTTAAAATGGTGTCAGATTTCTTGGGACACCCTGTATTAAGTGTAGAAAGTGTTTTTCATTATGTTATAAACACGTTACGCTCTAACTTTTACATTTAATGTTTCTCATTATTAATGAGTGAGGAATCACGAAACTCCGAGTCGAACTTCAGTAAGTATTATGAACTTATAGAGCCTCTGATTCAATAATAATAATAGTAATGATGATGATAATAATAAAATTATTGTCTTAAGTACAGTCTGCACCTTACGAAGAGCTTTATGTATGTAAAATATCTGTGATTTTTTTTTCAAAACTGATCAGTGGAAAATTGCATGATGCCATTTATGACCTTAGGTCGCTGGTCGGGACCCGGAAAGAAATTAGTATACACCAGAAATCAAGGGAAATAAAATACTACTAATAATAATAATGTATTTTTGTCCCAATCTACTCTAGTTACATCTCTGGTCTGTATAGTGAATAGTTCTGGGTATGACGATAAACTACATCTGACAGCAAGGTCTCTGAGCGGGAAATTGGTGGTTTTAAGGAACGTAGGATCACCTCTTAATTGCTGTTTTATTTTTATAGCAAAATACAAGAAATACACACACACACACACACACACACACACACACACACACACACACACACATATATATATATATATATGAAGAAATATAATCTTAAGGTGTGCTATATTTATGGGATAAAGTGCTCATTATCAGAGATAGAGCATGTGTAAATATAAAAGTGGGCATTGAAGTCAACACTTAGGGCGACAGGCTGTTTCATGCTAGACGCAATCGTCAAGCCACGATTGCATCTAGCATGAAACAGACTGTGGCCTCTAAGTGTTAACTTCAATGTTCAATTATATATATATATATATATATATATATATATATATAAATTACCATCAATAATTGCTGTTGTTCCCAAGTGCACCTTGACTCGGGGTGGTAGCACCTGTTAGGGTTCCAGTTATGGGCAAATGGTGAACCCCAAACAAAAAGAAAATACTATGAAAGTATAAAAATAATAATTTATACTAAAATTTTCATTAATACAATTTTAAAGCAAAATGACCAGCAATATATTTTATCCGTAGCTGAAGGTATGCAATTGCGTTCAAAAATATTTAGTTGAAACCATTAAATGACCCATAGAGGTGTTGATATGCTGCTAAACAAAACCAGGCAATTGTATAGTAAATGTTTATCTTTCTTACTCTTAACAGTTTATAGTTCCTATCTACTTTAGAACGTTCTCGTTGCTCACATGTACTTTATTTTTTGTGTTTCCTATTTCTTAATACTTTGCTTACTTTCTGGAAGGCATTTGTCTGTAGATCCACATCTCTGTCGTTTCGAGTTTTCTCTTCATCTATGAGAATATTTTCCAACATTTACTGCAACATAGGAGATTAGATATTATATAGCAGTTCAAAACTCTTTTCTTTGTTTCCTTAGGACATTTTCCTGTCCCTTAATACTTTGCTTACTTTCTGAAAAGCATTTGTCTTTAGAACTATATTCCTATCGCTTCAAGTCTCTGTGAGGAGACTTTCCAACATCCACAACCATATAGGAGATTAGATATTATATAGCAGTTCAAAACTTTTTTCTTTGTTTCTAAGGACATTTTCCTGTCCCTTAATACTTTGCTTACTTTCTGGAAGGCATTCATCTGTAGAACCACATTTCTTTCGCTTCAAGTCTCTGTGAGGATACTTTACAGCATTCACAATCATATAAGAGATTAGATATTATATAGTAGTTCAAAACTCTTTTCTTTGTTTCTAAGGACATTTTAGTTTACTCAGCGTAACAAAAAAAAGAAAGGAAAGCCACCATATATCAGAATAACTAGCAGCAACTCATTTCCTTGGAAATTGCGACTTGCAGTGAAGATTTCGTCCCTTATGGATAATATGAGAGTCGTGTACACCAAAACCAATTGCAGAATCTTCTTTGATATTGTGTTATGGCCGCAGTTTTTAATTTGCTTTCCCCTATTTTGAGGTCATATTTAATATGAGTTAGGGACATTGTTACCGTAATCAGCGTTTATTAATAAAATCTTTTTAGTCTTTTACTTCTTAATTTAGATACTGGACAGGCCTTTCTTTCTTTCTTTCTTTCTTTCTTTCTTTCTTTCTTTCTTTCTTTCAGCAGTTATGTCGCTATATTTGCACACTACCTTTCTTTCTGTCAGCGGTTATATCTACACATTTTCTTTCTTTCTTTATCTATATCTACACTCTTTCTTTCTTTCTTCTTATATCGTCTTTAAAACTGTTCTTTCTTTCTTTCTTTCTTTCTTTCTTTCTTTCTTTCTTTCTTTTTACTTATATCGTCTTTAAAACTGTTCTTTCTTTCTTTCTTTCTTTCTTTCTTTCTTTCTTTCTTTCTCCCTTCGTTCCTTCCTTCCTTTCTTTTTTCTTATATCGTCTTTAAAACTGTTCTTTCTTTCTTTCTTTCTTTCTTTCTTTCTTTCTTTTTACTTATATCGTCTTTAAAACTGTTCTTTCTTTCTTTCTTTCTTTCTTTCTTTCTTTCAATTGTATTCACTTTATTTTTTGCTCCTATTTTTCCCAGTTATTTTCACTTCTTCATCCTTTCTTATCGTTGTCCTCTTCTTCTCTTCTTGACCAACATAATGACTACGACTACCCTGATTACAGTGCCCAGTGTCCAGCAAAACTCAGTACGACGTAAACGCCGCTATTCAAGGAGAGGCCATCCCCGGGCATGGTGGTAGGACAAGAGTTGGCTGGTCATGGCCAGTGGGGGTGGTGCTTCTGCCAGGTTCCTACAAGACTTGTCGTGTTTTCCCGGGTACGTAGACGTCTCTTCACCGGAGACCCCTATGTTACTACTTGAGCAACTCTCAGCAAACGTACTTCTCAATTTTCTCTTTCTACTTGCATTCACAGTTATTTCCCTACCAGACGTAATCATTGCAGCGTTGTTGGTCATTGATAGCTTCAAGCAGTCGGAAAAAAGCAACTAAAAAAAATGAATAAATAAATAAATAAAAATAAAACGTAAAAATAAATAAAATGTAAAATAAATACAAAAATAATAAAAAAAGGATAATGCTATTAAAAAAGGCGGGAGGAAAAGAGGAATGAAAAAAAGATAAAAAGGGTGTCAAAGACAAAGAAATACTAAAGAAAGAAAGAAAGAAAGAAAGAAAGAAAGAAATACAAGATAGTGAGAAACCAAGTTGAAAAAAAATAATTTAGAATGAACGAAAGTGGCAAATGAAGAAGAAAAAGAATTATGCAACAGATAGAAATGAAGAAAGAAAAACTGAAAATACATGGAAGAAAACAGAAAAAAAAATGAAATGAAAAAAAGAAAGGGAGAAAAAAGTAAAGGAGCAGAAAAGAAAGAGAGAAATACAAATTAGGAAAAAAACGAAGGAAAAGCGGAAAAGAAAAAGAAAGAAAAAGAAAAAAAAAGAACGAAATAAAGACAGAGAAAATATAAGTGGAAAAGAAGAAAAATGAATGAAGAAAGAAAGAAAAAGAAAGAAAAAGAAATAAACGAAAAAGTGAAAAAGAAAGAAAGGAAAAAGAAAGAAAAAGGAAAAATATTAAGAATAAATGGAAAATTGATGAAGTCATTTGTATAGAAAAATAAAGATGGCGAAAGAAAGCGGGAATGAAAGAAAGAATTAAAAAAAACGAGAAAGGAATCAAAATGATGCTGAGAACAAAGAGAGAGTAACATTATTAAGGGAATGAATAAAAGAAAGAAAAAATTAAATAATTCAAGGAAAAAAGAAGAAAATAATTAATAGAGAAATAACAGGGTAGCAGGAAAAAGAAAGAAAGATAAACAGAAAAGGAAAGAATGGAAATTTAAGCGAAAAAGAAAGAAAAAATGGAAAGTAATTGGAAAAGAAAGACAGACGGACAGAGAATGAGTGGTAAAGAAAGAAAGGGAAGACGCGGTAAAGACAAAAAAAAAAAGAAAAAAGAAAGAAAGGCAGACAGAAGGACAGAAAATAAGTAGCGAAAAAAAGAAGTAAAACAAAATGTAAAGAAAAAAGAAAGAATGAAATGCAGGAAGTAAGTTGAATAGAAAGAAAGGGATTGAAGCAGAAAAGAAAGAAAGAAAGAAAGAAAGAAAGAAAGAAAGAAAGAAAGGCAGGAAATAAGTGGAATAGAAAGAAAGGGATTGAAGCAGAAAAGAAAAGAAAGAAAGAAAGAAAGAAAGAAAGAAAGAAAGAAATACGTAGAATAGAAAGAAAGGGATTGAAGCAGAAAATAAAGAAAGAAAGAAAGAAATAAAGAAAGAAAAAAGAAAGAAAGGCAGGAAATAAGTGGAATAGAAAGAAAGGGATTGAAGCAGAAAGGAAAGAAAGAAAGAAAGAAAGAAAGAAAGAAAGAAAGAAAGAAAGAAAGAAAGAAAGAAAAAAAGAAATACGTAGAATAGAAAGAAAGGGATTGAAGCAGAAAATAAAGAAAGAAAGAAAGAAAAAAGAAAGAAAGAAAGAAAGAAAGAAAGAAAAAAGAAAGAAAGGCAGGAAATAAGTGGAATAAAAAGAAAGGGATTGAAGCAGAAAGAAAGAAAGAAAGAAAGAAAAAAAGAAAGAAAGAAAGAAAGAAAGAAAGAAAGAAAGAAAGAAATACGTAGAATAGAAAGAAAGGGATTGAAGCAGAAAATAAAGAAAGAAAGAAAGAAAGAAAGAAAGAAAGAAAAAAGAAAGAAAGGCAGGAAATAAGTGGAATAGAAAGAAAGGGATTGAAGCAGAAAAGAAAGAAAGAAAGAAAGAAAGAAAGAAAAAAGAAAGAAAGAAGGCAGGAAATAAGTGGAATAGAAAGAAAGGGTTCTAAGCAGAAAAGAAAGAAAAAAAGAAGATGGTAAAAAAGAAAGAAAACGAAGTGTAACGAAAAAAGGAAAAAAGAAAGAAAGAAAGGAAAGAAAGGCAGATCATAAGTGGAACAGAAAGAAAGGAATCGAAACAGAAAAGAAACAAAGCAAGCAAGAAAGGAATTAAATGTTAAAAAATGAGGAAAGCGAATGGTAAAGAAAAAGAAAGAAATAAAGAAAGGAAAACATAAGTGGAATAGAAAGAAGGAGATCGAATCAGAAAAGTAAGAAACAAAATAAATGGTAAAAAGAAGGAAAACGAAAGGAAAGAAAAAAGAAAGGAAGAGAGAAAGAAAAAAAAGAAAAGAAAGGAAAAAAAAATAAGTGGAAAAGTAAGGAAAAACAAGAAGAAAAGAAAACCAAAAACAGACAAACGTTTGTATGAAAATGAAAAAAATATCAGTGGTCCGGTAAAAAGACGTGAGAAAAAGACAAAATGTTGGCAAGAAAATTATGAAAAGGCTAAAAAAAAAAAAAAAGAAAAAAAGGGGAAAAAATGTAAAGAACAGGAGAAAAGAAAAAAAAGAAAAAGTCATAGGAAAAAGAAAAAAAGACGATACAGTAAAAATAGAGAAGGGGAAGGAGAGATGTTACAAAATTGGTAAGAAAAGGGAGAGAGAAGCAAATTAAGATAGAGATATTGAAGGCAAGAGGAAGCGAAATCTGGCTCAATTAGGTCCAGTAAGACTGAATTGTTCAATTGGAGAAAAGCCTCGGGAGCCAGCATTTTCTTGGTGGTCGGTCAGCAGGTCATCGGAAGAGAGTAATGGCGTTAGTATGAGATGTGGCCTGAAGAGTGTGGTCAGTTACAATGGGACTGGAATCTGGAGATTAGAGGATGGGGTGTCCAGTGAGGGAGGAAGAAACAGAAGAAAGATGGCTGCAAATAAAGGTATCTTTGTCGGGCAAATGAGTAAAATAGGGGAGGATGGAAAGGTGAAGGGGAACGTAAAAAAAAAATACAGAGATAGAACGGGTAGCAAGCAAATTGGGACGTCTTTCTGTGGAAGGATAGGTAGACTGATTGCTGAGACTGGAGTAAATATTTCAGCGCAGCCAAGTCTGGCACATAGCCATGTTGAGTGAGAGCATCAAAAGAACACTGATAGACAAATGTAGATGTTACCAATACAAAATTAGAAAACATGGTTCAAATTGTATGTGTTCGTAGGGTGTATAATAGTGTGTGTTCGTAGGATGTATAATAGTGTGTGTCTGTAGAATGTATAATAGTGTGTGTCCGTAAGATGTATAATAGTATGTGTTCGTAGGATGTATAATAGTGTGTCTGTAGAATGTATAATAGTGTGTGTTCGTAGGATGTATAATAGTGTGTGTCCGTAGGTTGTATAATAGTGTGTGTCCGTAAGATGTATAATAGTGTGTGTCCATAGGATGTATAATAGTGTGTGTCCATAGGATGTATAATAGTATGTGTCCGTAGGATGTATAACAGTGTGTGTCCGTAGGATGTATAATAGTGTGTGTCCGTAGGATGTATAATAGTGTGTGTCTGTAGAATGTATAATAGTGTGTGTCCGTAGGATGTATAATAGTATGTGTTGGTAGGATGTATAATAGTGTGTGTCTGTAGAATGTATAATAGTGTGTCTCCGTAGGATGCATAATAGTGTGTGTTCGTAGGATGTATAATAGTGTGTGTCTGTAGAATGTATAATAGTGTGTGTCCGAAGGATGTATAATAGTATGTGTTCGTAGGATGCATAATAGTGTGTGTCCGTAGGATGAATAATAGTGTGTGTCCGTAGGATGTATAATAGCATCAAAAACAAAAGTGGAAATAATGAGACAAGCGCGCCCCATAAATTACTATAGTAAAAATAAAACGGCTGTAATATATATATATATATATATATATATATATATATATATATATATATATATATATATATATATTCCCAAGAGGATAGAATCCAGGTAGAACTCAATATCCAGGACAGAATAAGAATATAATTAGCTGGATTTTAAGTTTAGATCATATCGTTTTTTATTGTGCGTAGTGTCACCACAAATGTATCCACACGTTTTCGGTGTCTGTTTTTTAATTTTAATTTTAGGTCAGCGAATCGGTAGTGAATTATACATCTGAAAATAATTTATATTAACTGTATCTCACTTATTTAACCCGTTATTTAACACCTCTCTTTAAAATTTCTCTCTGTTAAATTTTAATCCACTCCTTCACCTTTAGGCCTTTTCTGTTCTTCTTTCTTTTATTACACCCTCTCTCTAGAGCTTTCATACATTTCCCACTCACGCTTGTTTCTCACTCCCACACATACACTCTCAGTAAAAATTTTGTTTTTTATACCCGGAGTTTTATTTTCCGATTTCTTTTTGAATTTGTAGGTCTGATGAATTGGATCGTGATTACGATTCCAATATAATAAATTATAACCATGGAATATTAGTGTTTGAGCTTTTATATATATATATATATATATATATATATATATATATATATATATATATATATATATATACCTAAGTATATGATTGGTGTATATGAAAAGAATTCCAATTACCAACGATTACTATTCTTAAAAGAGTGCTCAATGCAAAAGTAGAGCAGATATAATTATTTATTTTAAAAAATTTATAAGCATAATATAAATAAAATCACTACAAAATAGCCATTTTGTTTCAACACACCGAGGGTGTTGGAAACAAAATGACTATTTTTGTAGTGATTTTATAACATATTTATATTATAAATTCTTTTTTAAATAAATAATATATATATATATATATATATATATATATATATATATATATATATATATATATATATATATATATATATATATATATATATATATATATATATATAAAAAATTTATATATATATATATATATATATATATATATATATATATACACTTACTCACACAAATATATACACACACATTTCACACTTCAAAAAACCTACAAGATAACGTACACTTAACACACACATGCCCTTCCCAGCAACCAATAAAACTGTCAAAATGACAAAGGAGGGAATTGTGAGACTCGGGAATCCCCCAGCCTCTGTTTAAAAAAAAACAAAAAAAAACTCGAAAAGTGCCGTTTAACCAATACAAGTATTGACCAAAATTAACAATACCCCCCCCCAAAGCAGATGAAAGCTACATATAAAGTTCACTTTCTTCAAAGACAGTCATTCACTCCTGTAATTCACTGCTAGAAACAAACAGGGATTTTTTCCTCCTGATGATGGCCAATATGCTGACCGAAAGTAGTCGAGGAACCGAATGTAAATAATAAAACAAAATATATTAATATACAACCAAGTGTGTCCGAAATTTTATCTTTTTAACATATTTTATTGTTAAAGACACCCCCCCCACACAAATATATATATATATATGTACCGCCATTAGTTCGGTATACCTAAGTTTCAAATGTATTTTTCATAAATGAAAAATACTTTTTGAAGCTTTCCCCCAGCTTCAATCGAGAGCTAAAAGGATTAAATGTTATAATTCCAGAAAAGAAAATACTGTAGTGTATTTCAAATAGAAATTATAATGATTTTTAGGCGATTCTTCATCAAAACCAATCGCAACGGCCATTTGTAATTTTTTTTAAAGAAATGTATACAAAACTTAATTCTCGGTTTCAAAAATCCTGCAAAGATAAAATATACATCTCTGAAACGTTATTTTCATAAAATTAGTAAATTTAAAGTTAAATTAAACTTTTATCAAAAAAAAATATTACTTATTTATGGCATAAAACTTTCTATACAAGCATTTCTTGACGACAGGGTCTTGTTTTTCTAACATATCCGTCAATATATTGACTGCAGAATGAGGGGGACAGATTAAGTATGATGGGCCGGAATTGACATAAATTAAAAATTCTAAGTAAGAACGGTTTATTTTTGTTTTTTAACTACTAGGTAATGTTTAAAAATTAAAATATTTTAAGCAATTATCTAATATTTTACTGATTTTTTAATTTAATTTTGAAGATGCTTTCTTATAATATAATAATTTAAAATACTATAAAAATTTCTTAAATTATTGAGTTACCTCTATAATGGTATTTCATTATTTAATAACTAAGATATTATGATAAATAATTTTATTAATTATTATATTATCAGTTATTACATTTTTAATTTAATAACTAAGGCATAATAATTAATAAAAATATTAATTTTTATATTAATAATTAAATTATCTCACTCTCAGTTATTAAATGTTTAATTAACTGAGATAATATAAAATGTAATGATAGAGGTAACTATAATTTGAAATTTTATATTTTTTAGTATTAATTTTTATTTTTTTACATCTTATCTTTTCATTTTATTTTTATTATTAATTGCTATATTTGATACTTATGAATTGTTAAAATTATTCTATTAACTCACAAAAAAGAAAAGAAAAAATTAAAAAAAATACCCAAACAAAAACGAATTAAATTATTTTTCTTAACTAAGTAAAAAAAACAAAGTAATAAATAAACCAAATTATTTGATGCATGACACCCAACAAAGTAAGATGAATAGATAGCAAAATTAAAAATGTTTAGCGAACTATTTAGTTTTTAAATCTTGAAGTGATGATTTCTAAAGAAGCCTGTTGAAAGGGACGACGAAACACGGAAGTGAAATGAAAGAATTGCCCACAGCCGAAACCATTTATATTCTTTCTCTAAAGGGTGTCCCCCTTTAGAGAAAGAATATAAATGGTTTCGGCTGTGGGCTTGAATCACGTGAACTCTTGAACATAATGTTACTTATGAAACTCCATACTTAAAAAAAAAAGAACATTTAGACACACACAAAATAATTTTCATTATTGTAAATGTTTTGGTGGGATGATTTGTATTAAGCTTTTTAATTTTCGCTTAGTAAATATAGTCTTCAATTAATAACTTACTAACCTACCTCAAACGATGTTTGTAAGAATTTTAAAACATTTTTGAAACTTTATAATTGAAAAAAGAAAAATGCAAACAATTCTTGTAAAAATTCATTATTCATCGAAATTTTTTCTTCAGACAATAATGTCCTTAATATATATCAGTAAAAAAAGTAAATAAAAGTCTATCTAATTAAATAATTAGATAGTTTTATTTCAGTTTTTATTTTACGATTTGAAGGAGATTTTTAAAAAAGTTGGTGGTAGTTGAAAAATGATTAATTAGGTTTTCCAAGAAGTCCTGCTTTAAAGTAATATAAAACAATGTTTTGACCATTTGAAATTCTAGAAAATTTTGTGAGGGGGGGGGGGCACAGATGTAAAAAAAAAATAACTAAGGTTTTCTAAAAATAGAAATTCTAAAAATAAATTCATTCATTTTTGAATAAGTCCTGAAAGTTTCATTAAAATCCGACGATTATTTGATTTTAGCAAGAATTTCCAAATTAATGTGTCATTTTACCCAAAACAGTTACACGAAAATGTCCATTACCACAAGTCTTACACGGTTGACAGAAAAAAACAAGATTTTTTGCCCCAAATGTCTAGCGTGTCAGAAAGGAGGAAAGATTTTTTTAAAAATAATTAAAAAATATATTCTTCTTTTTTCTTAATAATTAATATACATTTGTTTTCATCTCGCCAGTAGTGTCATGCACAGCACAATCGTCAGGTGCGGATTGACAACTGATTCAAAACTGATGTCAATTTTCAATCAGCACCTGACGATTGCGTTGTGCATGAAACTCAGAGTTTTGTTACCGGCGAGGAAAAATTATTATTAACATAAAGTATATGGCTCTATTATTATAATACATACAGCAATATTTTACTAACACCAGCAGCTACAAAAAAATTGATACAAATAACTTCAACCAAATAAATAAGATTAACAGTATCAATAAATCAATTACTGATGAACTACAGATTAGTGATCGGGTCAGTAAACTACAAACTATTTGAATCTTCCTATACTTGGGTTTTGATTGGTCATTCTAGCTTTTGTAACAATGTTTTCCCCTAGCGGAGGATCGTTAATTAATTTGAAACTTTTAAAACCATTTATTTTATCTTTAACATTATCACTTGATAAGACACCGAGGGTGTTGAAACAAAATGGCTATTTTTGTAGTGATTTTATAAAATATTTATGTTATAATTTTTTTAAAAAAATAATATATATATATATATA